TGGGGCGGATCCTTCTTACTCCTCTCCCGCCTCCGTCCCTCGATCACAGTTGAACTGCTGCAGAAGCCAGTGCTTGAGTTGCGGTTGTGCACGTGGAGGTAGCAGTGCAGTAGAAGAAGAAGTAGGAGAAGAAGTAGTAGTAGTAAAAGCAGTAGTAGTAGTACATGCGGAGATACCAGCAGTACTCGCTCCTTCCGGCGCCTTTGGCTCAGGTTATGTCTCCGCGCTCACTCGTTCAGCGGCGGCTCTTCAAACTTTTCACCAACTTTTGTGAAGCAACGCGCGGCGACAGAAGCGGCGACAGAAGCGGCGGCGGCGGCAGGAGGACCTGCTGAGGATGAGTCCACAGTGAGTCCGGCCTTTGTTCATCTGACCCTCTGCCCCCCCCCACCCCACGGCCGCTCACCCACAGCAGTATGGTCGATAAAGGGCCCTTGTTGACGTCTGCTGTCATTTTCTACCTGTCCATCGGGGCCGCGATTTTTCAAGTCCTGGAAGAACCGAACTGGAAGCAGGCCGTGAATCGGTACCGAGCCCGGAAGGACAAGATCCTGGAGGACTATCCGTGTCTGAGTCAAGATGATTTGGACAGAATCCTAGAGGTATGGACTACACACACACACACACACACGCTGTTTAGTGTTGCACTTCTGCTGCGGGGGGGGAGGGGGTGGGGGGGAGCCTTGATGAAGCTCAGCTGGTCTTTTGGACCTTTTCACCAAACACTGACTGTCTGTTAGTACAGCTGTGGTCTGGGTGGGTCTGTGACCCCCCCTCCCTCCACCCTGTGGACTGGTGTGTCTGTGGTTGTGATCAGCAGATGTGGGACTTGAACCCAGTGGGTCTGTTTCCTTGACCTCTTGACCCCGGTGTCCGTCCTCCTCCTGGTGTCCAGTCTTCATGGTACTGGTCCAGGGAACTCCTCAGGAACTGGTACTGTTTCCTCTGGTGATTTAAACAGTTTTTCCAGGTCTGACCCAGGGGGGGGGGGGGGAGGGGGGAGCCTGCACACAGATTGTCAGGCTGACTCTCTGCACCCCTGAAGCCATCAGTGAAGATTATTGAGCTGCATCACTCCTGTCAGCATTTGTTTATGTGCTCTTATTAGGGACTTAATTTACAGTCAGGTCTCACCCTGTGAGTCTGCAGAGCAGGTCTCCACCCGTCATATTAGTTACATTTGAATGTGGACACAAATCCTATTACTTTCAAAAAACCTATAGAAAAGTTCACATTAAATAGAAATCATTATGATTTTAATTAGAGTTTATGTGAAAAACCCAAATGTTCTAGTATTTATTTCATAATGTTTTATTTGAATTATTTTTTTCCTGCAGGCGTCAAAGAGCGAGGGAGAGACAGCAGAAACTCCTCGCTGAATTTGCCTCCAGACAGAAGAGCTTCATGGAAACGGCAATGGATGTCGGTAAGAAAAGTTATCACTGACCTTTTTTCTTCTTTTTTTTTTTTTTAAACACAACATTCACGTTCACTCACATTTCAGTATCACGTTGGTGCAGTTTGAAAGTGGAGTTCAGTCCTTGGTTTTTGTGAGCCTGTTAGATGAAAGTGAGAGAAGATAACTCCTGTGGGAGAGTGGGCCACTGCTGACTGAGGGCACAAAAGATCAAAGTACTAATATGTGTGTTTCAGTTTTTTTTACAAATATTTCTCAGGTGTTTGTCAGAACACCTGGTCTGTCGTGTCGATCCTGCTCCTGGGGTTTTTGGACTCCTGGTCCTGCAGCTGGTCCTGCTGGTCCTGCAGCTGGTCCTGCAGCTGGTCCTGCAGCTGGTCCACATGACCTGACGATCACGTTTGTCCTGTTAAATGACTCGAGGTTTTCCTGCTGTTTGTCAACACACCAGTGTCCCCTGGTCCCACCGGTGTCCCCTGGTCCCACCAGTGTCCCCTGGTCCCACCTACAGGACAACTGGTACTGGTTAGTACTAGAGACAGTACTACGCTGGTACGCAGTCCCAGTGAGAGACAGTGGGAGGAACTGCAGGAGAAAAAGTATCCTGACTGTAGTATCACAGTACATCACAGTACATCCCAGTACATCACAGTACTTCACAGTACTTTACTACATCACAGTACTTCACAGTACTTCACAGTACTTCACAGTACATCACAGTACATCACAGTACATCACAGTACATCACAGTACATCACAGTACTTCACAGTACATCACAGTACTTCACAGTACATCACAGTACATCACAGTACATCACAGTACTTCACAGTACATCACAGTACATCACAGTACATCACAGTACATCACAGTACATCACAGTACATCACAGTACTTCACAGTACTTTACTACATCACAGTACTTCACAGTACTTCACAGTACTTCACAGTACTTCACAGTACTTCACAGTACTTCACAGTACATCACAGTACTTCACAGTACTTCACAGTACTTCACAGTACATCACAGTACTTCACAGTACTTCACAGTACATCACAGTACTTCACAGTACATGGTATTGTGATGCCTACAGTCCCAGTTGAAGCTGTTCATTTGTTAAACAGATGTCATGTGACCCAGTTAGGCAGCGATCTTGTGACGCTCTAAAATTCCAACTTGAGGTTTGTTGAAAAACTTCATCGTTTCTTCCAAGATAAATTTTTTTTTTTTTTCTCTGAATCCAGAACCGACCACGTGTGTCTTCACTGGACTGTGATTTAAACGAGCAAATCTGTTAATGCCATTACATCTGTCAACCAGATGAAGATCATCCTGCCTTCTCTGGGTTCACTGCCCCCCACACACACACACACACACCCATATACACACACACACACACACACACCCATACACACACACACACCCGTCCCCCGACCCCTACGTTTTTCCTCCAATCCTTAAAAGAGCCTCAGTGAAACAAACTGGGTGTTGGATTAGAACCAACAACTGCAGAGAGAGAGAGAGAGAGAGAGAGAGAGAGAGAGAGAGAGAGAGAGGGGGGGGGGGGGGGGGGGGGGGGAGGGTGTGTGTGTGTGTGTGTGTGTGTGTGTGTGTGTGTGTGTGAGTTAAAGAAAATCAATAGAAATCAGAAATCAATACGCGTCGACCTGAGAGAGTCCAGGTGTTTGTGTTCCAATCAGTGCTGCCCCCCCCTCCCCTCCCCCCC